CAAGAGAAGGGGACACACAAAGGGAGTTTCCATGGAACATTCTATCCCAAACAGGGCAAAGGGGAGGATTACGAAAGAACAGGTGAGTGTAGCTCTACCCCAGGGTGTGCCTACTCAGACAACTGGCCTTGCTGTCCGAGTGGGGGAAAAGACCGAGTCCCCAGTCACGGCACTAATGGCACTACCGCGCCAGACTGCAGTGATCTTTCAGATCCCTGGTGCATCAGGACTGGAAGGTGTGGTCTCAGTGTGGCCCCCACAGGCTAAAAATGAGAATGAGGTAGGAAATGAACACATAATAGCTGTTGCTAAACACACAGAAAAACATTGCATTGTAGCTGGTGCAGTGGGGCACACCTGTTATCCCAGCAGTCGGGGAGGCTGAGGCAGGAGGACTGCAAGTTCAAAACCAGCCTCAGCAACTTAGGGAGGCCCTAAGCAATTCAGTAAGACCCTGTCTCAAAACAAAATATGTAAAAAGGGTTGGGAATGTGGCTCAGTGTTTGAGTGCCCCCGCATTCAATTCCCTGTGCCAAAAAAGGAAAAAGAAAAACATTGCATTATAGATGCAAAAAACTCAGCAAACCCAAAAAAGACGAATATAAAGAAAACCAGTCAGACGCATCACTGAAAACCAAAGACAAGGAAAAAATCTTGCCAGATGCCGACCTGCAATCCCAGAAAATCAGGAGGCTGAGTCAGGAGGATCGCCGGTTTGAGGACAGCCTGGGCAACTTAGTGAGACCCTGTCTCAAAATAAAATAAAAAGGGTGGGGATGTGGCTCCGTGGGAAAGCACCCCAGGTTGCATCTTCCATCTCCAGAGCCAAGAGCTACCACAGGCTGTTTCCTGGGGGACACTAAGCTGGGCTCCCTGTCCCAGAGCCATGGCCAGGCACGTACAGGCTAGGCCTGGGTCAGACAGGAGCCATTAGGGCGACTGCCAGTATAGGCAGATCTCCTCCTAAACAAGAACAGCTGAGGGAAGCCTTCTCCATCAAGGAGAACGTCGTCAGATGGCACCTGCGTCTCTACACAGTAACGCAGGTCGTCACACATCTTAAAAACGTCTTTGGGGGGCTGGGGTTGTGGCTCAGTGGTAGTGAATTCCGCCTGGCACATGTGAGGTTCAATCCTCAGCACCACATAAAAATAAATTAATTAATTAAATGAAGATATTGGGCCCATCTACAGTTAAAAATATTTTTTTAAACAAAGACTTCTTTAGGGGCGGGGTTGTAGCTCAGCAGTAGAGTGCTTGCCTGGCCAGTGCAGGACCCTGGGTTCTATCCCCAGTCCTGAAAATAATGATTCTTTAAATGTGGTTTTAGTTTTTGAGCATATTTATAACTGCTGCTCTGAACTGTCTGCTCAGGGCAGTGTCGGGCCCCTCAGAGACGGCTTCTGGGCCCGAGCTTGGTCTATATCTTTTCCTTTCTTTACATGTTTCATGATTTATTGATTGAATTTTTTCCCCTGTGGTGCTAGAAATGGAACCCAGGGCCTCAGGCACACCAAGCATGTGGTCTATCACTGAGTTACATCTCAGCCCTGATTTTTTGTGGGGAGGGTACCAGGGATTGAACTCAGGGGCACTGAGCCACACCCCAGCCCTATTTTTTATTTTATTAGAGACAGGGTCTCACTGAGTTGCTTAGCGCCTCACTAAACTGCTGAGGCTGGCTGTGAACTGGAGATCCTCCTGCCTCCGCCTGCCAAGCCCTGGGATCACAGGTGTGGGCCACAGCGCCTGGCCCCCAGCCCTGATTTTTTTAAAGAAACCTTTTTTTGCCATTGTTACCCATGGCAATAGCGTGTGCTTTGATGTATCATGTATGCATGGAGAGCGACTTGACATTCTTTTGGTTGTACGAGATGTGGGTCACACTGGTCACAGGTTCATACCTGAACACGGGAGAGTGACGTCCACTTCCTTCTGCTGTCTTCCTGTTCCCATCCCCCTCCCTTCCTCCCATTCCTCCAGTCCAACCTGGCAACCACCACTCCCCTCCCCACCCCACCCCAACTCGCATCAGCATATCAGGGGAGCATTCAGCCTTTGGTTTGGGGGATTGACTTATTTCACTTAGCAAGATAGTCTCCAATTCCTTCCATTTATCAGCAAATGCCATGATTTTATTCTTCTTTACAGTTGAGTACTATTCCATTATGTACGTGTACCACATTTTCTTTATCCATTTATCTATTAAAGGCCTCCTAGATTAGATTGGTTCAGTAGTTTAGCTACTGTGCATTGAGCTGCTATAAACATTGATGTGCCTGCATCACTGTAGTATGCTGATTTTAAATCTTTTAGGTATGGAATAAGGAGTGGAATAACTAGGTCGAATGGTGGTTCCATTCTAAGTTTTCTTTTTTTTTAACATTTATTTTTTTAGTTATAGGTGGACACAAATCTTTTATTTTTTTATGTGGTGCTGAGGATCGAACCCAGTGCCTCATGTATGCTAGGTAAGTGCTCTACCTCTGAGCCACAACCCCAGCCCCCCCATTTGAAGTTTTCTGAGGAATCTCCATACTGCTTTCCAGAGTAGTTGCACTAGTTTGCAGTTACACCAACAATGTATGAGTGTGCCTTTTCCCCACATCCTCACCAACAATTATTGTTACTTGTATTCCTGATAATTGCCATTCTGACTGGAGTGAAAGTTTTAATTTGCACTTCTCTAATGGCTAGAGATGTTGAACATTTTTTTCATGTTTGTTGAATGACTATTTCTCCTTCTGTGAAGTGCCCATTTCGTTCCTTTCCCCATTTATTGATTGGGTTATTTGTTGTTTTGATGTTGATTTTTTAAAAATGTTTATTTTTAAGTTTTAGGTAGACACATATCTTTATTTTACATTTATGTGATGCTGAGGATCGAATCAAGTGCCTCGCGCATGCTAGGCGAGCACGCCACCTCTGAGCCACAGTCCCAGCCCCATGATGTCAATTTTTTTTTTAATTCTTCAAGTATCCTGGACATTAATGCCCTATCTGAGATGCAGGTGGCAAAGATGTTCTCCCATTCTGTAGGTGCTCTGCACATTCTTGATTATTCCCTTTGCTTTGAGGGCTTTTTAGTTTGATTCCATCCCACTTATTGATTCTTGATTTTACTTCTTGTGCTTTAGGAGTCTTGTTGAGGAAGTCAGTCCTGAGCTGACAGGGTGATTTGCCAGCCTTGATTTTTTTCAAGCCCCTATTTTGTAATTGAACACTGGGCACTTTAGAGAATATACCATAGAAACTCTGGATTCTAATTCCCTCTCCTTCCCATCAAGTGTTGTTCTTTTCTTGTTGAGTGACATGCCTGGATGAATTGTGTGTGAGTCTGTCTGCTCTGCAGTGTTTGCCCAGGGTGGCCTCCCGGGCCAGCACAGGCTAGTGCAATTATACTTGAAGATCCTGACCATCTCCTGATGGCTCTGAGTGTGGGCGGCAGATGCCCTCAAAGTCCATTCACAGCTTTACCCTGCACAAGGCTCCTGCTCAGCAGCCTTTAGGTTCAAGGCTGGGACCTCCTCCTTTGCTGGCTTCCCAGTCCCAGAGACTCTGCAGGGGATCATAGGCAGCTGTGGCAGGTCCTGTGGCCATCTTTTCTTTTCTTTTTTTAGTTGTTGGTGGACTTTTGGTTTAGTAGTTAATTAATATGCAGTGCTGAGAACAGAACCCAGTGCCTCACACATGCTGGGCAAGGCTGCAACCCCAGCCCCCTCTCGTGGCCATCTTATTCCCAAATTTCCTTGCAAGTGTCTGGTGCCTTTAGTCAGATAAGCTCTAAGAAGCTGCTGCCTTTGGTCAGATACGCTCTGAAAAACTTCTTTCAAGTTTAGTTGACTCTCCAATGTCTTCAGCTTAATATTCTTCCTATCATCCCTGAGGTCTGAGTAGGTCTGGGTCAAAACAAGGCAGGAAGGAATGGACAGAAGGGCACTAGAACAACAAGAGGAGGAGCATCAGGGGGCTGGGGAGCAGGGGAGAAGGGGAGATGGGGGAGACAGGGAGCTGGGGAGAAGGGGAGATGGGGGAGACGGGGAGCGGGGGCGGGGAGCTGGGGAGACGCGGAGCAGGGGAGACCAGGGACCAGGGGAGCTGGGGAGACGTGGAGCTGAGGAGACGGGGAGCAGGGGAGCTGAGGAGACGGGGACCAGGGGAGCTGGGGAGACGTGGAGCTGAGGAGACGGGGACCAGGGGAGCTGGGGAGACGGGGAGCAGGGGTGACGGGGAGACGGGGGAGACGCGAGACGGGAAGCAGGGGAGATGGGGAGCTGGGGAGACGGGGGAGCCGGGGAGCCAGGGAGCCGGGGGAGACGGGAAGACGGGGAGCAGGGGGAGACGGGGAGCAGGGGAGACGGGGAGCCGGGGAGACAGGGAGCCGGGGGAGACGAGGAGACGGGGGAGACGGGGAGACGGGGGGACGGGGGGGGGGACGGGGAGCTGGGGAGACGGGGAGACAGGGAGCCGGGGGAGACGGGGAGACGGGGAGCCGAGGAGCTGGGGAGACGGGGGGACGGGGAGCAGGGGGAGACGGGGAGACGGGGTGACGGGGAGCAGGGGGTGGCGGGGAGCAGGGGAGACGGGGAGCAGGGGAGACGGGGAGACGCGGAGCAGGAGAGATGGGAGAGAGAGAAGCTGCGGTGACGGGGAGCTGAGGCCGACCGGAAGTGGGGAGACGGGCCGGAGAAGGACGTTTTCTCTCCTGAGGTGCTTCAGTGCGTTGACCGGTTCCCGCCGGGGTCCCTGGGACCTTAGAAAGAACTCCCGCCGACATCCGCTCAGCTCGGGCCCCTTGGCGCCAGGTGCCGTTTCCGAGGCCGTGTTTCCTGCTACACCGCGGGCCTCCCGGAGCGCCGGGCGGCACGCTTCCGGCGCGGCACTTCCGGCGGCGGCGCAGTCTGACGGAGCTTGGGCGCCGGCCGCGTTCCAGCGGGTCTTCCTGGTGGTGCCGCGGTAAGGAAGGGCGCGGGCGGCCTGGTCGGAGCGCGTCCTGGCGCTGGCCCGCGTTGAACCCCGGGCTGTTCGGCTCCCGGCGGTGCCGGAAGCCAGTCCCCAAGGCGCTCCGTCGCGGGCCTCCCGGGCGGCCGCGGACAGCCGGACAGAGCCGGGGCGGGAGGCCCTGCCCCGGCGGCGCTGTCCAGACTGCCCGTCACCCTCCACACGGTCCAGCCAGGCAGCGTGGAATACCAGGGCCGAGGAGGGCGAGGGATGGGCCGGGGTCCCTGCTGGAGGTGGTTCCCGGCCCAGCGCTGGTTGAGGAGACGGGTCACCACTCAGAGAGCCTGTGCCCACCGCCTCTCGCTCTGCACTGAGCTCAGGCCGAGGCTGAGCCCGCCTCTCTCCCCAGGTCTGGCCCTGTACTGGGCTCCCAGGCTGGGGCGGAGCCTGGTGCCCCCCTCCGTGTGGACGTGATGCCCAAGCTGCAGGGGTTCGAGTTCTGGAGCCGCACCCTGGGGGGCGCTCGCCATGTGGTGGCGCCCATGGTGGATCAGAGCGAGCTGGCCTGGAGGCTGCTGAGCCGCCGCCATGGGGCACAGCTCTGCTACACTCCTATGCTGCATGCCCAGGTCTTTGTCCGGGACGCCAATTACCGGAAGGAGAACCTGTACTGTGAAGTGTGTCCTGAGGACAGGCCCCTCATAGTGCAGGTGGGCAGCAACCACGTCCCCAGCGGTGAAGCACCGTAGCCCTTCACACTGGCTAGTCCCAGCAGCCAGACACGTGTGGCTGAGCCCATCCTCCAGGTGCACCTCCCAGAGGCTTACCCCCCCTCCCTTGGAGCTGGCTCAGGCACTCATGAAAGAGTGCCCTGGATAACTGGAGCAACTCACAGCCCATGGCGTGACCTTGATGCTGCCTGTCACCCTCACAGGCCTTTCTTCTGGGAACAGTTACCAGAGACCTGTGCTGTTAGGAGAAGTCGGCACTAGCAGCTTCTGTTACTCATCAAGGAGAATTCTCTCGATCTGTAATGCACTCTCCTGTGGGGAGGGGACGAATCCCACTATCGTATTGTAAATGTTGGTAGGCCAGGATACTCCCAAGGATGGACCCCAGGACTACAACCATTGTGTCACAGTGGAACCCCTCACAGGATTGGGCAGCCTAGCCACTGAGGGACCTGAGCCTGGCTTGCCTCATGGGTATATTTCTTATTTTCAGTTCTGTGCCAATGACCCTGAGGTGTTTGTCCAGGCAGCTCTCCTGGCTCAGGATTACTGTGATGCAATTGATCTGAACTTGGGCTGCCCACAGATGATAGCCAAAAGGGGTGAGTTGGTATTCAGGGTCCTGCGATAGCCCTGTGGGGGCCCAGGCCCTGCCTCTGATCATGGCAGCAGCTGAGGCTAACAAGCAGTCCTTCCCTTGGTGTTCCTCAGTGCTGCATGGAGGCAGCCATTCTGCTGACTAGACAGGTGCACAGGCAGGGTTCCTTACTCTTTGATGAGTATCTCTGCAGAAATGTGGCATGCCACTGGGCTCAGCCTCTCCCTCCCTGAGCCCCTCAGTAGGCACTGCTGGTCCTGGCCCACGTGATGTGTGTACAGTGTCCTTTGAGCATGTGCAGCTGGGCAAATAGAGCCCCCAAGTCAGATGCTGGCACACTGCTTGGGTCTGTGATCATCCCCCTGCCCCACCCAGATGCCCAGCTATTGTTTGTCATTAGTTTATGCAGCCTGGCAGGGGGCTTATGGCCTGTGGTTGCAGGAAGGACAGGGATTGTGGGCCACCTTGTGGGAGGGTGCTGAGGCAGCTTGTACCCTGGCCTCACTGGGCCATGCTCATTGCTACAGGGCACTACGGCGCCTTTCTGCAGGAGGAGTGGGACCTGCTGCAAAGCATGAGTGAGTGGCCGCATGCCGCCAGGTGGGCAAGTGAAGGAGCCCCAGAGAAGCCCTGCAGGGCCGGGAGAGGACAGTGTGACAGAGTGTCCTGGATCACTCTGGCAGCTCCTGGCTGCTGTACCCTCCCTGTTGAAAAGAGGTGCCTGTGAAGAGCCACCTGTTCTGCACCAGCTTTCCCCTTAGAGCCAGACAGTAGGTGCTGGGAGTACCCTTGCTTGGCCACAGCCCCAGGGCCCTGTGGGACAGCCAAGTCTCTCAGCATTGGCCCCACGTCATGTGAACTTGTGAGGACAAGGGAAAGGCTGTGGTCACCTGCCCAGCAACCTGAGGGTGATGGCTGGGTGATGACCAGAGCTGTCCTCCAGGAGGCTGATGCAGCTCCATGGGGCCTGGGCTGTGGGGCTCAGCTGGCTAAAGTGGGATCTCAGAAACCATATCTCTTCCCAGTTCTGTTGGCCCATGAGAAACTCTCAGTTCCAGTCACGTGCAAAATCCGCGTCTTCCCAGAGATAGACAAGACTGTGAGGTACGCCCAGATGCTGGAGAAGGCTGGCTGCCAGGTGAGGGCTATGGCTTGCAGGCATGGGCGTCAGGGCTGAGGGCAGCCAAGCTCTCTGAAAGCTTCAGTGAGACAGGCTTCTGCCCTCTTGTCTGCCCTCCTTTTGGGGCCCTTGCTTGGAGGATTCAGGTGAGGCGTTTTCTGTGCTGGGGCTGGTGGGCTTGTCAGTGGCCTGACCCCATTGACTCCAAGACATCCACCCTGAGCTCAGTCCTGTGACAGATGCCATCTTGGCTCTAGGGTGTGGTCCCCATGGGAGTAGCTCTGGGGAGCTCAGCAGCCTGGAGGGCTAGGGAGGCAGGCCCCACAACTCTTGGTATATCTGGTCCCCTGTCCCTGTCCTCTGCATATTGAGCTCTGCCCCATGCAGGCTGGAGGGACTCAGCCTTGAGGGTGCCCTTCAAGGTGCTTAACTGCTGGGGTTGGACAGGATCCTAAGTGATCTTGGGGTAAGGCCTGGGCAGGAGACTCCATCTTCCCTTCCCCCTCACACTGGTCCCTTGTACACCTATGACCTTGGGTGGTACTGCTTCTTCCTGGCCTGGGCACTGGCTCTTTTTTTGGTACTGGGGATTGAACCCAGAGGGGCTTTACCACTGCCATATCCTATAACACTTTTTTTTTTTTTTTTTCCAGACAAGGTCTCACTAAGAGACCTTGCTTAGGGCCTTGCAAAGTTGCTGAGGCTGTCCTTGAACTCATGATCCTCCTGTGGGGTCTGACTGTGGACAGGATTGGGCATCCTTGGTGTAGCCTGGAGCAAGATCCCAAGGGCAAGGCTCACAGCGCCTTTGGCCCAGGACGGCTTTTTCTCTGTCTGGCTAGGGACCAGAGAAACTGAGGGAGGGGGTTCCCTGGAGTTGATCTGGAGGTTCAGTGGGTTGAGCTGGGTGCTGGTCTATCCTAGCTGCTGACGGTACACGGGCGCACCAAGGAGCAGAAGGGGCCCCTGTCAGGAGCAGCGTCCTGGGAGCACATTAAGGCTGTGCGGTGAGTGGACGGGGTGGGGAACACAGCCTGGTCTTTCATGGTGGGGCATAAACCCAGCTCCACACCTGGGGTTGTTCAGTACACCTGACTTTCTGTGACCAGTTGGGGTGGGAGGCCAGGCCCACGAACGTGGAGTTTGGGGCCTGTTTCCCCGTCTCTCCTGGGCCTTTCACTGCCCTGTTGGGGACAGCAGGGTCAGGCCTTTCTCCTCCTACAGGAAGGCTGTGGCTATCCCAGTATTTGCCAATGGGAATATCCAGTGCCTGCAGGACGTGGAGCGGTGCATCCAGGACACAGGCGTGCAGGGGGTCATGAGTGCAGGTGAGCAGGCGGATGCTCAGCCCCCTTCTTCCTTGATGCCCTGTTTTCATGAGCAGGCAGTCTGCTCTGATGGGCCTGCACTCTCAGACTAGGTTCCCTGGGCTGTTTCCAATTCATGACTGGCCAGTGAGCCAAGTGGTCAGTCCTATCCTCAGCAGGAGGTGACCCAAAGGGTGTCCTAGGCTTTCCTCTCCCAGCCCAGGGGATGGCCCCACAAGGCCTGCCTCCCTCCTGCCTGCAGAGGGCAACCTGCACAACCCTGCACTGTTTGAGGGCCGGAGCCCTGCCGTGTGGGAGCTGGCTGAGGAGTACCTCGACATTGTGCGGCAGCACCCCTGCCCACTGTCCTGCGTCCGGGCCCACCTCTTCAAGCTTTGGCACCACACGTGAGTCACACATCAGGCAGAAGCCAAGCAGGACTGCCCAGGCATCAATCTAGGGGCCCTGCCTCAGTGTCTGGGGCTTCCCAAAACAACTTGCCACCAATCTGGTGCGGAAGGGTCAGAGGCTTGCGGGCAGGCGAGAGCCTGGGTGGGAGGCACTGGCTCTGTGCCCTGTGTGCATCTCAGGGTGGTGGCTGGGGCCCAGGAGCAGGCTCAGCTCCTGTGACAGGTATCTGCCTTAGGCTACAGGTGCACCAGCAACTTCGAGAGGAGCTCGCCAGAGTGAAGACCCTGGAGGGCATCGCTGCTGTGAGCCGGGCGCTGAAGCTGCGGTGCCAGGCAGGTACGGGGCTGCGGGGCCCAGCCATGGTGGCCAGGCTCAGTCATGACCGGGTCTGGGCCTTTGCAGGAGGACATGTCGCGGCAGGAGGAGGGAGCCAGGCCCACTGGTGACCTGCCTTTCTTCCACTGGATCTGCCAGCCCTGCGTCCGGCCAGGGTGAGCACCTGGGCCACTCCACGGATGTGGGACTCACATGGGGACCTTGGTGTGGAGCAAGGCACATTTCCCGGGTGTTCCACCTGCTGCCCCTGGGGACCCGCCTGCTCTCTCTGGCTTTGGTGGAGGGTGCTGTCACTGAACATTTGGTTCCAGAAGCTACTTCCCCAAGCTCCTCTATACCTGGGGGATTTGTCCTTGGGGTCAAGACGTGGATTCTCTGGACTTTTCCTGAGCTCTTACAGCTGAGGCAGGCTATCGTTTGTGGCCACAGCCCTGCCTGGGCTTAGTGGCTTAGACAGTGGCACCTGAGGTTCAGACACCCTCCCAGGGAGGCCCCAGCCTCGTGCTAGCCACTCACCCCACCATATGTGTGTAGCTGCCCCCTGTAGTCCTACACAGGCCAGCCCCTGCCTGGGCACCCTGAGAATGGAGCTGGCCAGGGTGCTTTGTAGATTCACATATGTCCTGTGCACTAGTGCCCACCATAGCTACCCAGCCCCTCCTCACCCTCGGACCCCCTCCAGAGGCTCTGACCCATGTGGCTGTGACTAGATGATCACCTCTTGTGGGTGTCCTTGGCTCTGCTCACTGCCCTTTCTCTCCAGGCCCAAGGAGAGCACCAAGGAAAGCAGTGGTGGCCGTAGCAAGAGGGCCCTGGAGGAAGAGGAGGGTGGCACAGATGGCCTGTCCAAGAACAAGCAGAAGAAGCAGCTGCGGAACCCCCACAAGACCTTCAACCCATCTCTGAAACGTGAGCACCCTGCAGTGGCTGGGCAGGAGCAGTCAGGCCACCCCAGAGGCTCTTCTCAGCCTGCCTCTCATCCACAGCTCCAGAGCCAGAACCAGATGCCTGGCTTTCCTTCCCACACTCCAGGGGCTTGGAGTTGTCACAGTTGTAGTGCTGTACTGGGGGAGTGGCGGGGTGTGGACAGGGGACACATCTACTACAGTGTGTGTCAGATGCGGTTGTGGGGCGAGTCCTCAGCTGGGTGTTGTCCAGATGGCCACTGGGAGCCTTGGGTTACTGAGGATATCCCTGGCCAGCAGAGCACTGGGTATGCCCCAGCCTTGTACAGGGATGGCCTGAGTAGCTCTCAGGAGCCCTTGGGAAGTGTTCTGAGGTCTCTGCAGCAGGCTGTGAAGGAGGTCAGATTAGGGTGAAAATGCTCCACCTCACAGGAAGACCTGATTCACAGTTCCAGGAGGCCTCAACCTAATGTGGCCTTCCCCTCAGCAACCTAGGCCAGACCATGTAATGTCTCTCGGGCCTGGATACTCTGATGCCTGCTCACATCTGAGTAGCTGCCACAGAGAGCAGAGCTTGGGGCCGAGTCCTGATTTTGGCCTTCTTGCTATGGAGACACAGCCAAGCGCACCAGAGCCCTAGTACTGGGTGGGGATGGGATAAGGCAGCTCTTCCTGTTAGGAAGAAGCCCCCCCCCCCCCCCCCCCCCCGCTTCCTGTTTGTTTTCTAGCAAAATGCTCACTGCATTCTGCCACCATCCCTTACTTACCCAGACGTAGCCAACCCATATCCTTTGCCCCCGAGCCCCCGGAGCCCAAGTAAGCTTTGTGGAGGTGGACACTCAGCCCATCTCTGGCTTTCATTCAACCAGCATTTCTTTTTGTTCTTTTTTCCAGCAAAATATGCAAAGTGTGACCAGTGTGGAAACCCAAAGGTTAGTCCTGGCAGCCTGCTGCCCAGGAAGTGGTGGGCAGTGCAGACTACCCCAACATTGTCTCAGAGGGTCCCTGTGTTGCTATGGGGCTGGTACTGTCCAGCTGGGAGGACAGCCATGGGGTGACCTGGCCTGGGGGGGGCAGTGCCTTTCTGTGCTGATTCCCAGGGCTGTGACCAGGCCATGGGGCTTCTGGCATAGGCTTCCAGATGACTGGCCTCACCTCACTAGCTTTCCTGTGCCCAGGGCAACAGGTGTGTGTTCAACCTGTGCCGGGGCTGCTGCAAGAAGCGAGCCTTCCGAGAAACAGCAGATTGCCCAGGTGAGGGAGTGTCTCCACCGTCAGCCCACCACCTCTAATGGGCATCTGGGCCTCCTGACCCCCAATCTCTTCTTTTCCAGGTCACGGATTACTTTTTAAAACCAAATTAGAGAAGTCTCTGACTTGGAAAGGGACCCAACCTGGGCTGCAGGAGCCTCCACAGACAGGGCCTGGAGCACCAGGTGGCTTCTCTGAGGTTGTGGGCAGTGCCCTGGCCTGAGGAGCCAGCAGGAGCCACCCCCACTCCGGGCCTGCAGCTGAGGCCTGGACACTTCTTAAGGAACTGCCTTTACTCAGGGAATCTCCTGCTGGTTTACATAGAAGGACATGCCGACATCCTCCCTGGCCCATACTGGGACCTGGCGATGCTGCACCCAGGCAGGCCCAGCTTGTGTGTTCAAAAGCGAACAATAAATCATTTCAGAGACACATGTGCAGACAGCCAACAGCCTATGGCCACCACCCTTCCAGACCCAGGGAGGCCCGGGGCTAGGAGGGCATGATTAGAACCAGCAGGGACCTAGGAGTCTGAGAAAGAGTGAAGAGGCAATACACTAAAGCCTATGCAGAACACAGCTGGGAAATTAGGGCTTCACCCAACCTCCCCCAAGAGTCTCCAGAGAGCATTCCACAGGAGACCTGGTGACAGCTGGAGGGGGCCCACAGAAGCCAAAAGCAACCCAGGTGCGATCAAGTGGCCACAGCAGGAAGCAGAGCCAGAGCGACCATCAGTCTACTCTTTAATGTATGCTGCAGTTGACAGTCTGCAATCCAAACAACACGTGAACAGGAAGGGTGTGGGAGACCGTGCTGCCAGGCAGGAGCCTGGGCACTGCATGGAGTCTGTTCCCTGGGCATGGAAGCCCATGAGGTCGGTCCTTTGTGGCCATCGTAGGCACCCTGTCTGCCTCCGTAGGCCCTAGCACAGAGTCCTGCCAGGTGGAGGGACACATAGAAGCCTGGCTAGAAGCTCAGGAGTGGCACCCAGAAGTCAGGCTGCTCAAGCTCCTCAAGGCAAGCAGGCAGGAAGCCCAGGAGCATGTCCAAGGGGGCAGGGAAGGGGTGTGCAAACCATCCTGGAGGCCGCTGGGTGCCCCTCACATGTTGGTGCTCATCCGGGACTGGCTGTTGGCCGGAGTCAGCTCCCCCTGGCTCCCTTCTCTGGGAGGGGACTGCAGTGGACAGGAGAGAGCTCAGCCAGGGGATGCACAGGTGCTGCCCGCTCCCTGATGCCCCCAGCTGCTCACCTTGACGTGGATCTGGTTGCGCAGCACAGCTGCCCTCAGGATCATGGCCTTGGCACGTCGCTGGAACTCCTTCCCCATCAGCAAAGACTTCTCAAAGGTGGTACTGCGCTGATCCACATCCCGAGCATACAGGATCTGTGTAGGAACAGGTTTAGTGGGGCCAAATAGGGGCCCAACAGGCACCTTCGGCCCCACAGCCCCCTAGCCACCTTGCTATGCGAGTCGATACGGGCGTTAATGAGTCCTTCCAGAATGAGCTGTGTGAGCTCATCCTCCAGTGCTGCCACTGTGGTGTTGAAGGCTGCGGCCATCTTGTGCATGTCAGCTGACACGTAAGGGCTGAAGTACTGTGGGGGCAGAGAGAGCACCAGCTGCCTGCCGCTCTGGGGCACGTCCATCCCCACCAGCCTCTGCCTGCCCTACGCCTACCTGGATGAGCGCACGATTGCGGATCTGGGTGTACAGAGTTCTGACGTGGGGAGCGAGGTACATGTCCAAAAGCAGGTTGTCCTACAGAGGAAAGCTGGTTAGGGACCTTGCTGGACAGAATCCAGCCAGCAGGGCAGGACCTTGCCCCTCACCTTCATCTCATCCAGCATCTTCAGGCATGAAGCGTATTTGGACTCATAGAATTTAAAGATGATGTCTCGGACCTGTGGCTCCAGCTCCAGGAATAACTTGAAGGAGCTGCAGATGTCAGAGTGCTCAGCCCCACACCTCCACCTGCCCTCTCTACCCAGAGGGCTGGAAGGGCTCCACTCCCCAGGCACAAGGCTGAAGGGCCCCACACCCCACCCACCTGCTGGAGATGACATTGCGCTGCAGTTCCTGCCGGTCAAATGTGGCCAATGCGCACAGACCTCCATAGATGGCCACATTGCTGGGGGAAAGTAGCTGAGGGGCATAAAGGGAGATGGGTTCACTGATGACCTGGCCCATCACCTAGGTGTTCTACTCAAGAGAACACCTAGGACCCCATTCAGAGGAGACCAATGATGTGATCTGGACGCCCTCACCTCAGGGAAGTCGCAGTGATCGAATGAGGCCAACAGGAAGCACTTGGCAGCCTGCTTGTATTTGCGGGCAGCCAGCTCGGCCAAGCCTAGAGAAGGGGCAGTGAGGGAGAGGGTGGCGGCATTAGGCTGCCTGGAGCTGCCAAGAGGGCCTGGCCATCAGTGGTGCCCCCCAACCTAGAGACAGTCCTAACTGGGAAGCAGAAGTAACTGCACACTCCAGATATGCCTCCTCAGGCAGGTGCCCAGGGCCTTGAACTGCTGCCGCCTGCATCAGACACCCAGGCTCGGAGACACCAGCTGGGCTGCCAAAGGCAACACGGTGGCTTGTCCCAGGCACATGCTGGCAGGTGTCGCCTTGGTGTGTGGGTTTGGGACACATGCATCCAACGCTGCCCTGCAGCCTTGCAACAGCTCCCAGCTGTGAGACGGGGCACACCCTCTGGGTGGCGAGGGCCTCACCTGCAGCACACTTGAGCTTGGTGAGGACGCCTTGGGTCTGGCTGTCCCGCTCTCCACGCTGCTGCAGGGGAAAGCCACGTGCCTAAGAGGGCTGCGCCCCTCCCCTCCTCATCTGGGGAGCCCGGGGCCCAGGCCCCAGCCCCAGCCTGAGAGGGGCATGAAAACAAAAGGGTCGTGGGCAGGCTCCCACAGCAGGGTCTCCCAGGAGGTGGGCCCTACCTCAGCAATCTCTGGGGTAGACTCAGCCTTGCTGACATAGCTCAGCACATGAGACCAATTCTGCAAGTAGACGCTGACCTGGAGAACAAGGGGCAGGGCCACACTGAGCCTGGGCTGCTACCTCCTGGCTACCCAGTGCTGCCCCCGGCCCGCCACAGGCCCACCTTGATGACGTTGAGGCACATATTGATGACATGCTTGGCACTCGTACAGTAGTCTCGGGCGCGGGAGTAACACTTGAGAGCATTGCTGAGGTCTCCACAGTCAAGGTAGTGGTCACCCAGGTCATCGTGGCCGCGCCTGTAGACCTGGCTGTGAGTGGACACAGCAGGGGGCCAGCTGGGCCCAGACAACCCCTTCCCTGGGCAGGCCAGCACCTGATGCTCTCCTTGATGGAGTTGCCCTTGTAGTTCTTCAGGTCTGTGTCCAACTTCTCTAGCTTCAGCAAGGCCTTCTTCCGAGTGGCCTCCACCCAGGCTGTGTCCAGAGGTGGGGGCTCCACACCACTCTCAGGGATGGCGTCGGGGGCATTCTGCAGCTCCCTGAGGGAGGACCTGGCCATCAGGACGCCGACGGTCACAGGGGCCAATGAGGTGGGCGGATGTTGCCAGCCACAGACAAGCCCTCAAGAGGCTCGTTCCCAACCCCAGCTAAAGGGCCACCTGTACCAGGAGCACAGGGACAACTGCTGACCCAGGAGCCCTCGGCTGAGAGGGGAGACCTGGCCAGGGGAGTGGCTTCCAGGAGAGGACTATACTCCATGGGCTCCCCTGGAACATGCAGGCAGGTGCAGCTCCTTCAGCCGGAGAGGTAACACAGTGGCTTGTCCCAATCACATGCTGGCAGGGGTCACCTTGGTGTGTGGATTTGGGACACACGCATTCAACAATGCCATCCAACAATGAGCAGGGCCTGCGCAGCCTGCCCCTGCACTGCTTACCACGTGCGGGAGTGCTGCTGTGTCACTGCGCAGCTAGGGCACTGGGCATGGCAGGAGCACAGGAAGGCCCCCCCATCCAGGCCAGTCCCAAGCAGGGGGCACACCACATCCAGCCCCGGACACTTCCCACCACAAACGCCTTTTTTACCAAGGCCCTGGCCTTACCTGGTGGCCTCCGAGAGCTTCCGATGTATCTCCTCATACATATCCACATTGAAGGTCCTCTGCACGAAGGAGAGGGCCATCTTCAGGGCTTCCACCCGCAGTGGGGGGCAGTGGTCAGCAATGAACTGCAGCCGCTCAATGCGCATCAGCCCACTGTAGCTGGCTGCATACTGCTCCAGATCCTAGCACAGGTGTGAGAGGAAAGCAAACAGAGGGTCGGACAGTGCATATAAGGCAAGGTCCCATATCCCAAGCCCAGGGACAGCAGACGGAGAAGTCTGACTGCCCACAACAGGCACTGGACCTGGTGGTGCTGAGACCACTGGGTGGGTGGAGACCCCATGGTAGGGCTCTGCACCTCATGGCACTTATTAGTACTGGACTGGACTGAGCAGCCAACGGCATTTAACAGGTTGAGTCTCCCTGGAGATGAGACTCAACAGTCAGGGCTACTCCAGGTGGGTGAGAAGTGGGTGCAGGATGTCAGGCTAGGCTGAGAACCCAACATAAATGAGTGACGGAAAGCTGAAGAGTCCCAGTTCAGAGAAAGACCAGAAAAGTCACTGAAAAGTCACTGATGTCTGCCTAGGGAGCAGACTGCAGTGGGACTCTGGCCTGGACACCCAGCAGGACTGCGATGGCCTCTCCCCGGCCGGGCTCTGTACCAGGGTGGGGTTCTCCACCACGTAGTTGACATCAGGCGCATTCTGGGGATCCTCCTGGGGGTCCACATCAATCTGCATGGGCTCCACAGCCCCCTGTAACATAGGTCAGGCATCTTAGGCACCTTCAGCTCTCAGGTCCTTCAAAACATAGCGCACCACTCCCCGACCAGTGCTGCCCTCCCCAGCCCCTGCTCGACGGAGCTCAAAAGAAGCCCCTTGGCTGGCTGGCTGCCCAGGTTTGAGGGGGAAAGCAGACATCAGGTGGGCTTGTGTTCCCAGCCACCGCCTTCACCCCAGAGGCAGGAGGACCCCCAGAGGCTCTGTCCTGAACAGCCACACGGAGGTGAGGGCCGCGTCAGGGGGAGGGAGAAAGGGATTATCGGGTGGCGCAGGGCCCGCGGGGAGGGCAGGGCCTGGCGGACACCTCGGAGAGCAGCGTGCAGGCCGACAGGCTGACGCTCAGGCTGCAGTCCCCGGCCGTGCCAGGCCGCAGGTCGGAGGCCGACGAGGAGACCGAGCTGGGCGCAGGGCTGCCCGGCATCGCGACCTGACCGCAGCCCGCCCGGCCGGCGGCCGAGGAGCGTTGGCGCAGGGCGGAGGAGGGGCCGGGTCGTGCGCAGCCCGCGCGGCCGGTCCACGTTGCGCGCGGAGCCTCAGCCCGGCAGCCTCCCGCCCCCCTCGTCCTCCCCGCGGCCTCCCGTCCTCCCCGCGGCCGCTCCA